ATGTGAAAATTCTCCTATCCCCAAATGTCCACATGTGAAAATTCTCCCATCTCCAAATTCTCACATCCCCAAATGTCCACATGTGAAAATCCTCCCATCTCCAAATTCTCACATCTCCAAATGTCCACATGTGAAAATTCTCCCATCTCCAAATTCTCACATCTCCAAATGTCCACATATGCAAACCCTTCCATCCCAAAATAATAACATCCCTAAATTCCTTCATCACCACATCCCTAAATCCTCAAACCCTTCACCACTTTTTCCACACACCGCATCCTCGACATTTCTCCTCCCACCTCCGTCACACACACAAATACCACAGACCATCAAACCCATAATTGCCAGCGATTCCACGTCTTCCTATGCAAAACGTTTCTCTGGAACGCATACTCGTGATTCCATCAGAGCTGCACGAAGAGGGGTCGGCGATACAGATAAACAGCATTCAAAATTCATCGTCGAGATACGCTAGCGGTTCTCTCGTGTAGCAATCGTGAGGAAACATCTGTGCCGGAGGGTGGTTTACGCCGAAAATAAACGAAAAAGCTTCTCTCACCCCCTGTCCTACGACTTTTGCTTGTCATTGTTTGGGCAGTCTCTCATTTTTTCCCGCGGTGATATTAAAATTTTCTACGTGCTCGACGAATGAGGTGGAACGAGACTTGGATGAAATACACGGGGAAAAAATTCGACGCTATCTATGCTAATCGAGAATTATTTCAATTTTGTTGGAAGATAACAAAGGGTCCCTTCTATTTATTTCGTACAATGAAGGTGCATACAGTATTATGCATCCTTTGTTATAAAGGTTTTTGAAATAAAATGTAATGATGACGCAGTCATTTTAATATTGTGGAAATTTAGAATAATCGTTGTCAATATTTAAAATACTTTATTGGTAGTTTTATGTTTGTTAAGACTCACAGTTAGTATTCATTCTGAGTAGACAGGTAGTTTATTTTCATATGTGGTAATTGCATGTGTGTACATCTCACATGTGGTAGTTCGATGCGTGTGTGACTTGACGAGTCGTGCTTCTACGCGTGAAAGTCGCACATGTCGTGAATCGGTGCGTGTGTGGTTCGACGCGTGGAAATCTCATACGTGGTAATTTGATGCATGAAAATCTCACATATGGTAATTGGTCGCGTGGAAATCTCATACGTGGTAATTTGACGCGTGGAAATCTCATACGTGGTAATTTGACGCGTGAAAATCTCACACATGGTAATTCGATGCGTGGTAATTCGATACATGGAAATCTCACACATGGTAATTCGATGCGTGGTAATTCGATGCGTGGAAATCTCACACATGGTAATTCGATGCGTAGTAATTCGATGTCTGGAAATCCCACACGTGGTAATTCGACGCGTGGTGACTCCACACGTGGTAATGCGATGCGTGGTGACTCCACACGTGGTAATTCGGTGCGTAGTGACTCCACACGTGGTAATTCGATGCATGGCGACTCCACACGTGGTAATTCGATGCGTGGTGACTCCACACGTGGAAATTCGATGCTTGGAAATCCCACACATGGTAGTTCGATGCGTGGTGACTCCACACGTGGTAATTCGATGCATGGTGACTCCACACGTGGAAATCTCATATGTGATGATTCGAAGCGTGGTAATTCGATGCCTGGAAATCCCACACGTGGTAATTCGGTGCGTGGTGACTCCACACGTGGTAGTTCGATGCATGGTAACTCCACACGTGGAAATCTCATATGTGATGATTCGAAGCGTGGTAATTCGATGCCTGAAAATTCCACACGTGGTAATTCGATGCATGGTGTCTCCACACGTGGTAATTCGATGCATGGTGACTCCACACGTTGAAATCTCATATGTGATGATTCGAAGCGTGGTAATTCGATGCCTGGAAATCCCACACGTGGTAATTCAACGCTCTCCACTCGTGGAAATCTCACATATGATAATTTGATGCGTAAAAATCTCACATGTGGTGAATGAATATCATTTACAAGTACCTGTAACTCGCCATCTTCATTCACCACATATCATTCTCGTATAAACAACCATTGCTATCGAAGCACCAACATTTTATTAAAAAATTCGCTTACAACTAGTTCAAATTCACAACAGAACAGTATGGTTTTGCCCCGACCCGCGACATTTGACAATGGTCCAACCCATGAACAGAAATGTGGGTGTGGAAATAGTACACGAACGTTTGCGGGAACGTGTGTGTGCGTTCATTCGATTGTACGCATTCACTTGGCGAAACAATACCTTTGGATCCGTCCTTTTCTCGATATTTCCAACCCTCCCCGTTGCTGTCAACTTCTCTTCCGCTTCTTCTGTCAACCTTCGCTTACAAATGCCACGGTCTTTACCCCAATCTTCTTCGTCTTTTTCTTCTCTTTTTTTATCGCTATTTCATCCTTACGTTTGCCTGTTATTCCTTTATAAGCGATCGCTGCATCTGCCCCACTTTTCGCCCTTTGTGCGTCTTCAGGGATTCTTTGGATCTGAACGCCTTAGTGACACTCTTTTTGCGCGATGGTTTAACATGATCAGATTTATGGCAGAAATTATGCTAGTATGGTGTATTGGTTGTTAGTATATTTTGTTAATATATGGTTGTTAATTGCGATCAGTAGTTGGAGAGTTTAATGATTACTTTGTAGAGCGCTGTAGTCATATGTTCGTTACACATATGAAGTTACAATGTATTGCCAGGCAATGTATTTCGAGAGGTAAAATTATGTGCCAGATTAGTATACGTCATTAACGGGATTTCGAGTGAAATTAGAACCGGCTAGGTTTCGAACGAATTTATGCGTTAATTCATATGTGAGATTTCTACGTATCGGAACTGCATATGTGAGATTTCTACGCGTCAGAACATCATATGTGAGATTTCTACGCGTCGATATTCCGTGTGAGAGATTCCTATGCGTAGAATCGCCACGAGTTAAATTACCATGTGTTAAATTTCCACACGTCGAAATGGAATGTGTGAAAGTTCTACGTGTGAGATTTCCACGCATCAGATTATCAAATACGAAATTTCCACACGTGGAGTCACCACGTATCACATTACCACATGTAAGAGTTCCACGCATTGAATTACCACGCGTCGAATTACCATGTGTGAGATTTCCACGCATCGAATTACCACGCGTCAAATTACCACGTATGAGATTTCCACGCGTGGAGTCACTACGCATCGAATTACCATGTGTGAGATTTCCACGCATCGAATTACCACGCGTCAAGTTACCACGTATGAAGTTTCCAAGCATCAAATTACCGCGTATGAGATTTCCACGTGTCAAATTACCACATGTGAGATTTCCATGCGTAGAATCATCACATGTGAGATTTCCACGCGTCCAATTACCATATGTGAGATTACCATGCGTAGAATCGTCACAAGTGACATTCTCATGTGTCGATTCACCACATGTGAGATTTCCACGTGTCGAATCATCACAAGTGACATTCTCGTGTGTCGATTCACCACATGTGACAATTCCATACGTCGAATCATCACAAGTGACATTCTCATGTGTCGATTCACGACATGTGAGATTTCCATGCGTAGAATCATCACATGTGAGATTACCATGTGTAGAATCATCACATGTGAGATTTCCATGCGTTGATTCACCACATGTGAGATTTCCACGCGTCCAATTACCATATGTGAGATTTCCATGCGTCGAATCATCACAAGTGACATTCTCATCTGTCGATTCACCACATACGAGATTTCCACGCGTCGAATCATCACATGTGAGATTTGCATGCGTCGATTCACCACATGTGAGATTTCCACGCGTCCAATTACCATATGTGAGATTTCCATGCGTCGAATCATCACAAGTGACATTCTCATGTGTCGATTCACCACATGTGAGATTTCCACGCGTCCAATTACCATATGTGAGATTTCCATGCGTCGAATCATCACAAGTGACATCCTCATCTGTCAACTCACCACATGTGAGATTTCCACACATCCAATTACTACATTCAAGACTTCTGCTTGTCGAATCACTTGCCAAATTACCACTCATATTTCTACACACATATCCCCCACTATATTACTCCACCCACACATGACCTCCCAAATTCCCATAATCCCTCACATCTTTCCCCTTCCATCATTAAATAAAATTCGTCATGTCGGTCACCGTACACCCCCGGCAATGAACTCGTTAAAAACGAGTGTCGGGTAAATGCATTGTCTAATTGTGTTGAAAGTGAGTTGCATAGGCGCGACCTCGTGAGCCCTGTAGCTAGAGGCGAGTTAACGGAGTTGCATACAGTTTTCTTGAATACAAGCCTGTTCTTTACCAAGAAGGGTCTGGTAGTTAAACAGCGGACCGTACAATCCGAGCATGGCTTTCCATCGCAAACTATACAAGGTTCCACGAGTATCAGTTTTTTTTTTTTCCTTCGGAAATAACGCATCGCGGGATGCTTCGTTAATTAGAACCGACTCGAACTCGTTTAATAATGAGCTCTTCCTCTCCGTGACGCACGTTTTACGTTGTTTTGTGTGCGGTTATTTCGAAATTGATGGTGCTCCGGGATTGGTGACTCGCCAATTGGGGTAGAAATACTTTTTACCCGGCGTTCGTAATTAAGAACGGAACTTCCATATTGTGCGGGGCTAATTACGATCACCACGTGTAGCTTTAGGGAAATAAATACTAGAGTGGCATACATTTCATCTGAAGTTGGAATAACTTTGATAAAGTTAACGTATGGAAAAGTCACGTTTGTTTTAAAAATTGAAACTGAATTTTGAGGAGATAATTCATCGATTTACTGAATGATACAAGAGTAGGATTAAGAGTGATTATGTTCTACCTTTCAGTACATCAATTTAATGAAAGTTATTCTGACTTGTGATGCAAGAGAAAATACTTGTAAGCTACTGTGTTTAGAATATGATTGTTTTGTACAAAGATAATTTTTACAGATAATATTAAGGTTTGTTTTAATTGCTTTTTGCAGATCTCCACGTTAGTGTCGCACAGGGAACGTCCGCTATGCTCGGACAGGAGTCTCCGTGCGGTTGCCAGAGTCGGCCAAGCTGTAAACCTGGCCGTCGAAAGATTCGTCACCGTTGGCGAAACTATTGCAGATGACAATCCGGAAATTAAGCAGGACATGTACGAGGCGTGTAAAGAAGCGAGGGTCGCTGGTGAGTCACAAAGTTTTTTCTATTCTTCAAGTTATCTAGTTCTGAAATATACATCTTCAAATCCCAACATTCTTGTGTGTCGAGTTCTCATGTACCAAATTTTCAAATTCCATAATTCACAAATTATAAAATTCTCAATTGTCAAAATTCTCAAATGTCCAAATTCTCAAATACCTAAACCCTCAAATACCTAAAGTCTCAAATGCCAAAATTCATAATTGTCAAAATTCTCAAATGTCCAAATTCTCAAATGCTTAAACCCTCAAATACCTAAAATGTCAAATGCCAAAATTCTCGATCGTCAAAATTCTCAATTGTGAAAATTCTCAAATATCCAAATTCTCAAATGCTTAAACTCTCAAATACCTAAAATCTCGAATGCCAAAATTCTCAATTGTGAAAATTCTCAAATATCCAAATTCTCAAGTGCTTAAACTCTCAAATACCTAAAATCTCAAATGCCAAAATTCTCAATTGTGAAAATTCTCAAATGTCCAAATTCTCAACCCCTAAAATTCTCAA